GTGTTCTAAAGAGTCAATAATTTAATTCATGGACATAGCACAAACAGACGTTTTGCTCTTTAATGATTATAACGTTGAGTTTAGTGTCATTAAGTTATTCATCGTAAAGCTAAGCCACATGAGGCATTTTTACCAACAGCACGGGCATGCGTTTCGCCTAATCTGTACTGCCGAAAGGGATACAATTCTGCTTATGTTGTTCGCAAGTCAGCGACTTGCCACTAATTTTTTGACTGCATGCACGAAAGCAAACTTGATCGCCAGTTGATTTGCTTTCAGATCTGCCGCAGGAGCAAATCATAATTTGTTTCCCCTCACTGAATCAGCAGCAAAGGGACTTACCACGCTTTTAACTTTGCCACAAACAAAGTTGCATAAGAGTTATACAAAGCGAAGCAAATTAGGCGTCCTTCTTGAGAAGGCTCTGAACAAATTTGTGCGATTGCTATCGACCATTCCATCACAGGGGGCTTGCGAATTGCTTTACCCGTCGCAACCAGTTCATCAAGAACGTTTCGAAAAGTCAGATTAATATCTACCGACGAGGAAGACGTGTACGGTTCTGTCTTTTTATCCTCTTTGTTCAACATTTTATTAATAACAGAATCGCTAATGCTCTGCTGAAATTTGTCAATTGTACCGATGTCGATTTGAATTCCCTTTGGGTCATCTGAAGATTAGAACACTTATGCAAACAGCATATCCACTATTTGCCGTTACATTGCATTGACTAAGCTCGTCGTAACCCAGAAAAACTAAAGTATACGTCAGCTTGATACACAGCACATAACTAGCACTCCTACATCTGGCAATAAATGCCGTTCAAATTGCTGATCGCCGAAAACCAATTTACAACACATCAGACGCATGCAAGTAGCTCTGTCATCTGATTTTTCTCGACACCAACTTAATCAATCAGGAGTGAAGGAACAGCTTTTCACGCGAAAATTCTAAGCTGAATGCAGGCTCCTTGAACGTCAGTCGAAACGTTTGCATTTGCATGCATCATTCCCAAATGCACTTACTCAGCAGCTGTCAACTTTCCTGGACTGAAAGCGTGTCAATTTATGGCAATAAAGCGATCACTAATGCTTTTTTCTAGACCTAGTGGTCTTCCCGTGAACGACTTGGAATTAGAGGTGATCAGTTCAGTAGTGTAGCACGGCCTCGGCATTGCGAACACCATCTCTAACTACTCACTTCACGAATATCTCGCTCACTACTGGCATCGCACAATCAACACCATGCCGACGTTTGTCAACAGGGATTCTTGGAAGTAAAATTGCCGGAAGGCCATTGTCCCAACAACAGCGCGAAGCCATAACGACTGCAGTGCAACCTGGCATCAATTTCTAATGATTCTGATAGTTCATTATCTGTGCAGCCATTATAGCGTGTGGGCAGGGCTATATTCTAATACATTACATGTCGTTCATGATTGCGTAGTTCAGTGCTAAAAAACTAAGTTTTTCTGTGACTGTTCGTTAATTTGTTCATTCATCTACCTCCCTTCGGGTCACGGAGACAGACATCAGACATTTCTTCAGTCTAAGCTTCGGCAGAAGACAACTGGAGTCTGGAACAGGTAACTTCTATATATTTGAACCGGGTTAATCTTTGTCGTTACCAGGTTCTTCTGCCGACCAATTTCCCAAAAATCAGTTCCTTAGCCTTCCATTCTGGAGGCATCCGCAGCACATGTCCAAATC